ATCACAAGGATGTCGTCCAGGAAGGCTAACACAATGTTCCATGTCAGTCCGCGCAAGACTAGTTTGCAGGTTATGCAGGTGACTCATCCCGGTAAAGAATAACCCATACTTTGTTATGAAGGCTGTTTTGTTCCTTATCAGAATCTTTTACTTTTATCTGATATACGCTGAGTTGGCATCACGAACCACTCATTTCCGGACAATGTGTCAATACACTCTTCAATTAGAGGTAAAGGGTAAACATCTTTCTTTGTTACAGAGTTAATGATTTTCTTCTGAGGTTGACTCTTGTCCAGCACAAAGTCTAATGGAGTACGTCTCATGCTCTGCTTAATTGGTGATGCAGAGCCAGTGTTTATGGAATGTTCTATCTCTGTAAAGGTGCCAAGATCAAAATCATTCTCAGCAAAAACATCTTTATATTCCTTGAGTAGATTCATCAATAACTTGCTCTGACTTTGCAACGGATTTCTGGAACAGGGAACTCAAGTGCTCTGGAAGTTCTGGTATTGGTCCTTCACTTTGGGGTTTTGCTTCTGGTACAACAATCACTGGGTCTGCTGACAAAGCTTCTCCCACTAACGTGCCTTTTCGGATGGTAAAGTACCGGTCACTGGCATTAACTAAACATAGCCTAGGTGAGTTCTGTTTAGAGTACACACATCATCGTGGCATCATAACAGGAATATCTTCCTCAGGCTCTATAACGTAGCTTCCATCAATGTGTTCAGATAGTTTACCACTGACATGTATGGCTGAATTTGGCGGAATTACAGTTTTACCAGGCACTGTTACTTTGGCAACTGTTGGAGCTTCACGACTCTTTCCATATGACATTTGCAAAACTTCAGAGTTAATGGAGAACTGGTTCTTACTGCAATCTAGTATAACATTGTTTTCCCGCATGAAGTCTAAGCCTAGGAGTATGTCATCATCCATAGGTGCTACATATATTTCAGATGGGTAGCTTTGGGCTCCTATCTTGATGTCAACTGGACCAATGATGAATGTATCCATTTTCATATCACGCCCTGCACCATACATGACTGTGCGTTTCTTAACAGGTGGTTTGATCTGCATCTTTTCATATACCCGATCCGAGATAATAGTGACTTCTGCTCCCGTATCTATTACTGCAGTAATGTCTGTAGAGTTCACTTTTACATTTAATCTCAGCATAGAAGCTGATCCCAACTGTAGAATGGTCATTGTTTTGTCTACGTCTGCACTATGATCTTCAGAATTGGAAGTATGATTTCTATTTGATGTTTTCCGTCTAGGTCTTCTATGCTTCTTGTGTTTTCTTGATGTATGTCTTATTGATTTCTGACTCGTTTCTTCTGTTGCACAATTTTTTTTGAGGCGCTTTGTAGTATTACGGGTCGGATTTACGCCTGTTGACCCGGCCCACTCTCGTTTAAAGATCTCGTCTCAGATTGTGAACTCCCGTTTGTATTCTGACTTCTGCTTTGATTCTGGGCCCTCAACTTCTTAGGCTTTCTGCAATCTCTTGCTAGGTGCCCTGGTTTGTCACAATTGTAGCATGTACGGGTCTCCGTATTTTGTGGTCTTCTTTTCCGTTTATTCTCCATGTTGCTTAATTTGCATGTTGTCCACAAGAATCTTGATCTGTTCCTCCATAGACTTTAGCTGATCTGATTGATGTGCTGGCGTAGAAAAATTTGTATCGCTCTTCACTGCTGCGTTAATTGTTCTCACAGAATCAATCTCGTGCTCGGGGTCTTCAGAAAATTCTCGACGTCTAATGGGTTTACCATATATAGCTTTGGTAGTGTGCTGGTACCACTTGATCTTGTCTATGGCGTCCTCAATAGATTTTGGTTTCGACATTGAAGCATTTTGACCAGCCTCTTTATCACAGCATCCCTGACAGAATCTCCATACAGCTTGCGAGTATACGTGTTCTTCTGGCAGGTCACGAAAAGCTTAGGAAAAGTAATCTGTCAGCCCAATCTTTAAGTTTTTTCCTGTGTTCTGATGGGCTCCCATAAACTGGACTTGAAGAGTCTCTGATAGATCCACAAAGTTAAAACGCTTTTCTAGCTTGCGAACTAACTCAAAATAGTCTATGCCGTAGTCTCTGTTCACAATACTGGTATAAAACTTGCTGGCTTTTCCATCGAGACACCAACATAACTGGTCTTTGCGTTCTGCAGCTGTCCAGTGGGATACATCTGCATATCTGTTGAATTTCACAAAAAAGGCTTCCCAGTTAGTAGTCCCATCATACCGCAAGGCTTTGGGCAGATACACAGGTTTTGTTTCGTGTCGCCCCTGGCTCTCGGAGACTGTTGGTTGACGTCTTACGAAAGTTGGCGACAACTGAGGTGAAGGCAATGTACGTCGTTGTACCATAGGTGTCTGGAACCGGATATGGTCTGGAACTGGACGGTGCACTTCATTGTCATGCGAAGAATTTTCCTGCTCTCCTGATCTGTAGTAAGCATGGCTGGAAGGTGGTCGCATACTGTTAGGTATATAACGCTTCTGAGTAGGTGTTGACTCATCACTGTATGCGTGCACTGCACGGTTACTTTCACCTGATGATGGAGTTCTTCTGGGTTCCGACAAAGGGGTCGCTGTGTGTTGAGGGTGAGTAGACGGCTTTGCTGTGCTGTCACTCGTCTTATACTCTGTATTTACTTCACCATGATCCTCGTAATCCTGGAACTTTGTGAAGTAATCCTCCATACCATCACTTGTGGGCTTGGCGTAGCTATGGTCTATGCACAAAGGTGGTAGAAAATCTACACATTCAACTAGTTCTGGTGTGACCCTTAGTTTAGGTATACCCATAAATGTTTCCAAGTCAGTTGGGCCTTGCTTTCTCAGTTCCCATATACGGTCAGCTATGACCTGACCCACACCTGGTAGGACTCTTAGATTTTCATAGGCACAGGTGTTTATGTTAATTTTGAATGGACTCTTCCTGTGTTTTGACATCATATTAATGGTAGGGGGGATATACAAACAAACTTGTGTGTGTTCAATATCTTTAATTCAATTCAAATTTAAATATCTTTTACAATATATACTAAGTTATCACGTGTTTATCAAAATGCACAAAAAACATAATTCTGCCAGGCTTTAATTCAATTCAAATTTAAATCAATCTTTGACAGATTCCCGCCACGAGGAAAAAATATCAACGAAATTCAATACACAGAAATTTTCGTGCAGAATCGATTGCTCGCAGCGCCAGTGAAGTATTGTATGTAAAAACTGACAACGCTGGTAATCGTTTATAGTTGTATTCAGTATTAATCACACAAGACTTACAATATTATAACCAAATGTGCAATCTTTCCTGCAAATCGGAATCCACACACCACCAGGCACTCAGACCAGACGACAACTTCCTCGCTCATGCGCATCACACACGGTGTCAAGTCAACTCGTACCTGAACACACTCATACCACACTACAGTAGGTACATGAATTTCTTCGATAGAATACTCAAAGAAGATGGCATTAGTTTAAAAAATGAAAATGTCTTGAACAAATAAATTCAATTTATTGAACGTGATAATGTTATCTGAGTACGAAAAGTTATACAAATTTAACTTAGTACCTAAACTTACCCCTTGTTAATTTTTAATCATTCAAATCCAAAGGACAACGATAAAGATAAATCTGAATTTACACTAGTCTTCTTAATTAACTCCCCCCTCCTTCAATTCGTTTTCGCGAATTGTTCGAAGTTTGAATATTAATTTGACAATAAGTAGCCCTCTCTCCTTGAAAAAGGCTATTCGGCGCGCCAGCGCGTCCATTTCATCCCAATATCACAAAAGTATTTTTTTTTCCCTCACATTAAAACACTTAAATGACTTCAATTTCTTTATAATTTAAAGCTGAAAACTTCTCATTCTTGCACGGTACGTCTACACTCATCGAACCTCTAAAGCGAAATACATTTAAATGTTAAGAAATCTGCTCCTTATATTGCGGTTGTATGAGATAGCTTCGATGAACGGGAAATATGACAGACTATGCATTTTCACTTGTAGTGTTCAGCTTTAAGGGTTTAGAAGCCAGTTTATTTCTGGGATGTCATCGGGCCGCGTGACGCTCTGGTAAGAGCGCTTGCTCTAGAGTCGCGGAGTATAGTGTTGAATCTTACGTCACGGGCTCAAATCCAACTGCAGGACGTGAAAAACAGTCCTTCAAATGACACCGCTTTACCCGAAGTCCCGTGTTGAAGTAGGTGCTGGTATGAAGAGATCCCCCAGTGCAAAACAGACCAGATTGCAGGATTTAATCAGCCCCTATTACCGGTACTACCAACAAGTGGTGGTGTCTCAATATGAATGAAAAAATTACGAAAAGATAGCTGAAACACAACTAAACTTAAAAACTTAAGCTTACTAATAGTTTCCACAAAGTTTCAGTGCTGACACTTCAAGTTTTCGCAGTAGGGATGCTGATTTGCCTCTGGTTTAATTAAAATTAGTCCATTTACTCTTCTAAAAGATTGAAAAAATATTTTTAAAAATTTTTTTTACGACGTACGATTGACAAAGGATGAAAATAGAGCGAAATACTATAATTTACCTTAGGAGACGACCATTTGATTCTGAGGGGGACTGTCATTGTTATTTTGGAAATAAATAATCTATCCTGGAGAATGGTAAAAAAAAATCTGACCTCGACTGGACAGGGAAAAAAAACCAGTCCCTGACCCCCCCCCCCCCCCCCACACACACACACACGTATTAGAATTGTTGACTTTGATGATTAATTTCCGCGTTAGACTTTTTTTTAGTGAAGAGGAAAGTAAGTAATTTGTCTTTGACCCTACTGGAAATAAATAATCTGTCCTTCACCAACATGAAAATAAGTAATCTGAATCGAAAAATATTGCCAACCCCCTTTTCAGAATCAAATGATCATCCCCTAAGTGAGTCAGATGATATTTTAATGCATATTGGAGTTAGAAAACTTAAAGTCGGAGACTAATTTCCTTTTATGTTTTTCAGTCGAAGAACCTACCATTAAAGCTATGTTGACAAAGTGCGGAGAAAGGCCAGGTCTCTTTCATATAACATTGACTGCTTCACAAAACCCACCCGCCAATCAGTTGACACAAAGGATCAAAGTGGCAGAGAAACTTATTAGAGACTTCCCAGAAGGATTCACTCGCCAAGCATCTAGAAACCTGCTTGGAGCTTTCTATTTTTATGATAGTCAGTTTTCAAAGGCTATTCAAACATTTCAAGAAGTTATTGAAAATGATTCAAAATCACTAACTGCTTCTGCGAATCTCGCCTTTGTTTATCAAAGGCTGAAGATAAATTCAAAAGTATCAGAATATGAATCTAAATTATCGATGTACGACTCGGTGGGCCAAGGCATAGTTCTAGCTGATCAAGCGTTTGCACTTTTATTTGATTGTTATGTTGAAAAAGACATTTTAGATAGAAATATTCTTCCAAAAGAACTTTTTTGCCAAAGTCTATTAAAGTTGGAAAGTAGTAATCGTCATCAATATATCACTGAAATACAGTATTGGCTCGGCGTAACATATAGTCGCCTCTACGCACAGTGTCCCAAAAGAACAGGAACAGAAAATATGGCAAAAGAATGTTTCATGAAAGGTACTCAATTATTTGCAGATGTTATTAAATACGAAGGTGATGGCAGACTTATTAAGGAATTTGTATCGGCATCATGGGTAAAACTTGGAATTTTCTTATCTAAAACCGCTGAACATAAGGGTGATGATATAAAAACCCATCTCCAAAAATTAAATTTATTGCAATATTTGCAAAATCCCGAGAAATGTTTCAAAGTAGCCGTACGGTGCGGGTCCGTTGATGAGTCGCAAGACCATGCAGAATTCCAACCTTCAAATGAAGTATTAAATAAATATGCAATTTTTTTAATGTCAAGGAAAAGACATGAAGAAGCTTTAGATAAGTTAAACCAATCTCTGTCTATAGATAATAGCCAGGGAAACTGGTATTCCCTGACATTAAGAGCTAAAGTACTGTCAAACTTAGGCAGGACTGACGAGGCTATTTGTGACTGGGAGAGGTCGTGTTCCTGGAATGGGATTCCTACAGACTGGTGTGAGTTGGCCAAAGCCTATCATTCAAAATATAAATTGTGTAAAGACAGCGATCAAGACACTGCCCAAAATTGTATTTTAAAAGCTTCTGATTATTTTCTGCGCGCTGTTCAAAACCTTTGGCAAGAGAAAAGACCAGAAGTTCATAGTGCTTATGGAGAATTTTTGCGTGAGATTGGAGAAGTGCGAGAAGCCATTGAATGTTTTAAGAGAGCAATTGAAGTTGAAACTCCTGACAAAGCAACACAGAGCTTTCGCTTATTATTTGAAACTCTTCTTCAGTTCTACAAAAGTTGCAGAGAAAATTCAGAAAAAACGGAGGAAGAATTGAATAAATCATTAGATGAAATGACATACCTCTACGACGTGGAACTACGAAAACATGGCGATTTGGAAAATGAAACTAAAGGCTTTATCAAGGATTTTGAAGAAGAGATGTTATTCCTGACAGCTTACTTTAAGTATTACAGAAGTCAACCAACATTATTTGTTGATGGAAAGAGCCTATCCGATTATATCACCTCTACAGTAGAACCTGAAAAAATAGAAAAATGGATGACTTTGGTCGAAGAAAATGTAAAATTAATTCATAATCGAGACAAATTTAAACGACAAATTGAAAATATATGTTCGAAATGTGGTGGTGGTTATACCAAACGACAACTCTCATTTTTTCCTGAACCACGAGTTAAACCTCGAAGTCTACGATATCCTTTTGATTTTTACGTAATATTTTCACCACCTGATAGGGATTGGGTTTGTCACGTGTTGTTGCAAACTCTTGAAGTATCCTACGGATATAAAGGCGCAGTAGCGGAAAGAGATATGATTCCAGGTTCTAAAGAGCTCTTTGAAAGGGTCTCTTTTATACAAAACTGTCCAAAAATACTTGTGATTCTGCGCCAGGAGTTTGAAAATTATCCAGAATGTAATTTTGAGTTAGCTCATGCTGTACTTAGAATGAAAGACAAAAACTCGGAGCGAATTGTGGTTCCGATATGTCGAACCATCAACGGCATGCATCCAGTGTTGAAAACTATTACATACTTAAATGCTATAGATGACTGCAATTGGAATAAACTAATACGAGCAATAGAGTCAAAATGATTCATTCAAGCAATTAATTTAAATTGCTGCATTTTTTTAAAGACTAAAGGTTTTAAAAAAGATTTCATACAATTTTTATTTCTCACCAACAGTGAAATAAAAACAGATATTCACCTCTTCAGGTTTAATGATTTGAAAGCTTGTTGTGCAACGGCAGAGCATTAAGTTTACCAATGAAATTCATGCCTAACGTCATCCGATGCCCACCTCATGGCAACATAGATCTAAGATTAAACTTTTCTGAAAATGCAAATTAATGACATATGCAGCGTACCTTACCTACTGATAATTTTTCAATATATTCTTAGTTTTAGTGTCATCAGATGTTCATAGACAAAAAAATCAGCATGCATATCCAAAATTCTTGAATTAATTCAAAGAAAAATATATAAAACATAGTAAACATATATTCTACACGTTTCTTTAATAAAAAATTCTTTTAGAAGAAATGTTCAACACTTTATATCTAGACACTAAATATAGCACACAATTCCTTCAGGAATGGGAACTCTTCAACTCGATGGGAAAGACAAAAAAGTTCAAACTACGTTGCGTATGTCTTTTAATATTTTGGGACCCAAAATAAGGTCTTCTCACAAGCATCGCCACCAAGAGTTCTTGTAATTATTAATCCCAATGATCCGGTTAGCTCAGTCGACCCCCACAATTTGAAGTAAATATCATCAACAGAAACCCGGATGGAGATCACAATTAGGTTTGATTATTGATATATCTTTGTCACTTTAAACCAGGAAATCACGGAGCACTTTTTCTTCTTATATTAATAACATTGTATGTTCATAGTGTAGATGATGAAATGACATTTTTAACACATAAATCACCCTTTTTTATTCCACAAACATGTATTACGAAAACCATGCAACCCCGGGGAATTTTTTCCCTAAAACTATATTTCTGATAAACCGTCCGCAAAGTCATGGAGTGAAATATTTGGGGATGGGGGTTGTTATAAATGTTTTATTACACACTTAGTAATAAATACAGGTTTTTTGCATATGCGATATGGCTGACGTCACAATAGCCGTATCAGCCCTGCAGGGCTGATACGGCTATTGTGATGTCAATATCACACCCTTAGTAAATTAAACCACAAAAACAGTACTTGTGATCGTATACAATTTTTGGTGGGTTCATATTCTCTTGATTTTAACTTTTTGAAAATAAGGTTAATCTTAATTTACAAATACATGTAATAGATTATTTTAAATTACGGATCGAGTGCATTGAAATAGAAGTAGAAACAAACCCAAATCGTATGAGACAATGGATCATGTATATTTCTGTAAGAAGTCCATGCATGATTATTTACTTATTTTCTTCTCAACTTAATGTGTTCTGTATTTTATTACTAAGTATGTAATAAATATAATAAAACATACCCTTTTCCACATCACAACCTGTATCAGCCCTCGACCAATATCAGCCCTCGGGCCTTCGGCCCTCTGGCTGATATTGGTGTCTCGGGCTGATACAGGATGTGATATGGAAAAGGGTATGTATTATTCTCTACATAATTTACCTTGATCAATATAATCATATTATAATTAATGTAAATGACTTTTACTGAACTATGACGTCATAATGCTTTAATAATAATAATAATACTTTATTTAAAGAAGGTAACCCGATGAGTACAAAGTACTATTCTTCACCAGGGCCTTCTACAATTCAAACAATAGACGTAACTATGACGTTATATGCATACAACATGTAGATATTCAAAATAAACCACTATACAATACAGAGGTTTTTTACATTGGCCTTAAATTCTCAACATTTGGTGCCGTGAAAGCAAATGAATCAATTCATTACCAAAAGAAAAGCTACAGAAGCCCAATAGTGCAAACCAAAAATAAATAAAGAAAAACGAAATTATTAGATCAAGAAAAACGAAATTATTAAATAAAGAAAAACGTAATTATTAAATAAAGAAAAACGAAAGTATTAAATTAAGAAAAACAAAATTATTAAGTAAAGAAAAACGAAATTATTAAATAAAGAAAAACGAAATTATAATAAGGAAAAACGAAATTAATATATATATATATATATAAAAAAAAACAAAATTAATATATAAAGAAAAGCAAAATTAATATATAAAGAAAAACGAAATTATTAAATAAAGAAAAACGAAACGAATTTCTTTTTCCTTTGTTTTTTTCTCTGTTTTCTTTGTTTTCACTCTTTCTTTGAAGAATCAACAAAGGGCATACATGGAAAACATTCCAACTAACTCCAATTCCGCAAATCTTCAAACAAGGGGAATCTCGCACAAACAATTTAAAGATAACAAACTTTGAATGAGTGGTCCTACATGGTTAACAGAACCATCGCAATATCCTCAGTGGGAAGTGTCCAGGACCTCTGCTTTTACAACATCTACAGACAAAGTAAATCTGGAGGATGGATCGAAGAATATCATCATTCTTGGTGTCAGCAACATCATAAACATATCATGAATCAGAAGTCTACAGAAACCGTGCAGAGTTAACGTGTTATGTTTTGAGATTTCTGCAAATCTTCCAGTGAACGCAACAATCAACAAAGGAAAAGGTCTGTTTTATCTGTTAAACTAGATGAAATGAATGAATCAATAGTACTCTGGATTAAAGATGTACAACAAAACGAATAAACGAATTCCAAACAAAAATTACTGCCATGAATGGGGATAAACAACAAACATCGCTACAGAAACTGCTGAAACTTTATCGAGACGAAAAGGGTTTATTACGCTGTAAAGGTAGAATTGACAATTCTTCTTTAGAGTACTCGGCAAAATATCAAGTACTGTTACCAAAGAAACACGAATTTACTGAAATGATAATAATGGATATCCACAAAAGATGTCTACACTCAGGATGTTCGCAAACCATCACAGAAATTCATCAGTCATTTTGGATACCAGCGAGCTTTAGCCAAGTTCTAAGGAAATGTATTCCATGTCAGAAGGTAATTGGACAACCATTTCCATTACCGGATCCACCACCACTTCCAAATGACCGTGTATAAGACTGCATACCCTTTCGATTGCTGGAGTAGACTATGTAGGACCCCTTAATGTCAAAGTAAATAGACAAACCAAAAAGATCTACAATATGTCTGTTTACATGTGCAACAACCAGAGCTGTTCATCTAGAACCTGTTCAGGATCTCTCAACTGAAACATTCGTATTGGCGTTCAGAAGATTCATTACAAACAAAAACATGCCGCACACCATTTGCACAACAAATCATCATGGAGGAAACAGGCTTAAATATTACATGGAAGTTCATACCTAAAGGTGCACCATGGCATAGAGGTTTTTGGGAACGTCTGATCAGGATAACGAAAACAACTTTGTGGAAAATCCTAAGTTGATGAGACGGCCATTCGTACCATCCTTTGTGAAATAGAAGCCACAATGAAAGAAAAAGTGAGCAAGCTCACATACCCCACGCTCCCCTACAACTCAAAGTGCGGAAATTCTCGGAAAAAATAAAGAAATCGGAATTTCCTGGTAAAATGCACATCTACATGCTGTGACCTAAATATCTGCAAAGTTTGACCTTGGTAGAACTCACGTGACTGTAAATATTTTAAATAATTCATTCCACACGTGGATTCAACATGGGTCATTCAGTTAAATAACTCTCACTCGCTATAGGAAATGCATGGAATTCATTAGAGTGTTTATCTTTCAAACATGGGTAACCACGCCAAAAAATTAGTCACATGACGCGCATGCGCCAATGAGAGGAACACATTAGTAAGTTGACTGTCTCAAAAAACCTAATTGCGGAATTGTTTTCTTTCATTTGTCGTGTGAATATAATGATTATAATAGTCTTTGGTATAAAAGGCGGTTTTTGTGGCAGAAAGGTGGCGATTTAAGAGATGACAGAACGAATAACCCGTTCATAACATGACTCTGTTTCGCGTAAACGTCATCGTCACGGTTGACTGAAAACCATTCCAGCCCCTCTCTGACAACGGGTAACAAGTTTTATCGGGCAAAATTTACAAAAAACTGCTCAGTTACCCATTGTTGCCTTTTTCATTAATTAGGCAATTCGAAAACCAGACCCCATTGAACTTCCGTAAACTGTACCAAGATTGCTAGAAATTCATATCGTCTCTAAATATTGAAAAATAATGTGTATACCACAGGTGCATCAAATGTTGCAATAAGATTTCTTGACAAACTCGTCGTCATCAAATTGCATGTGTTTTGGGCTTTTGAGCGTTTTCCCTATGTGACGTCATACTTTTACGGTTGAGTATTTCTGAACACTGATTTTGGTGCATAGTAATTAAATTTCTCATCTGACCAATTTTCGTAATTTTCGGTCATGCGGTCAAAAAAATTTCGAATATTATGCTACCCTGCGTTTCTTTTTCCTTTCAGTATATATTCGTGAATTTCAGCGGTAAAATTTGTTGAATCGTACGGTTTAGATATCAATTAATGAGTTGGGATGAAAATTTTTGCTTAATTTGATAGTTCATTTTTTTCACATTTTACCCAGAAGTGCACTCGTTCTTTAAAGCAATGACATCAGGGACAAATCGATTCGCTGTCACGGTCTGTTGACACGCTTATTGAAAGAATAGAAAAGGTTGAGAATCTAGAACGACTTGAATACGAACAAGAATGTGCTAGTGGTACAAATAAGAAAAATCATGCGAACACACTTTGTGATCCTGAGCTCACGATAATCGCCAATAACGTTATGCAGTGTGAGGATGAGAACATTTTTGAGATTGCAGACGATATGACTAGACACTTAAGTGATTCTGTCCAAGTAGTTGCGACGACACGTTTAAAGAACAGAGGTTTCGGAAAACCCGGTCATCAAAATTAGATTCTCAAAATCACACGCAGAGAAAATGATAAGGCTAATTGTATTCGGCGCGTCAGCGCACTCGCGTAACAGATTTTGTTTATAAAATTTATCGCTTAAACAATTTTGTTAGCATCGGGCTCGATATTTCAATCGATATTCCTC